GGACTTATAGCATTCAGAAATAGGGGGAATTAAGGAATAATTAGGATCCATGGAGCTTATCATTCAGAACACAGAAATATAGATACTCTTTTAAATAATACGATAAAGAGTCTGACCTCAGAATTAGCAAATTGGCTATACGTTTAATCAATTATGTGACCTTGCACAGGCATCTCCTCTTTCCAGATGCCAGTTTTCTCTTTTGCAAAATGAAGACATTGACTAAGACGATCTCTTCAATTTTAGCTGTTTGGTCTTACGCTTAAATAAATGTAGACTATGGCTCTTGCAACTGTGGCAACTACAGAATAGAAAACAAGGGATTAATTCTAAAAGTGAGAGTATCAGTATAAATGCTAATTTATACATGTGCTAGGTTTTATAAGAGCACTGGCTGCAGTACAGATCAAGGAAGAAGAGTAAGAGATGAAGGGAGGAGCTAGACAAGTCATCTTAATCATCACCATCTTTTTCATCAGCCACCACAGATGTGATTAACTCAGCGATAATTGCTTTGGGATGAAAAGACATGTGAATAAAAATAATTGCAGTTCATGGCAATATATGACTAGAGGGACACTAAGGAAATACTATTGGATGTTAAAAGTGACAAAGATGAGTGTTCACCTTGGATAGCCAGGGAAAGAAAGAGGGACTCTTGAACTAAAAGTGATTCAAGTGTCTTCAGGTTGACTTAGGATAAAGTATACTTCTAGTGAAAGAACATTACAAACAGGAGTCAAAACTTTTAATACAGGGGCCCATTTGGCACACAGTGAAAGTTCTATGTTGATAATAAAAAATGCTTAAAAACATGCCTCTGAACTAGAGAAATATATTGGTTCCACTGAGCAAAGTTAAAAATAGTGAGTGAGAGTCAGATTTCAGGTCAAAGTAAGGAAGAGTTTTTATCAAACTGAAGCATTTCAGTAATCTTGGAGCAGGAAGCTTCTGGCATTCTCAGTTCTGGAAGTGGTTTCGTGCTATTGGTGGTGGTGCTCTGGCATGGATTCCTCCATGGGTAAGAAGATAAGAGATTTGCTGGTCTGAATCAAAATTAGAAACATAAGGCAATGTGACGTCTGATGTAGATGATTAATGCTGTGTTCCTTTCTTTTTTTGTACTCTTAAAAGCCCTTATTTTTATGTACCGATGGCTTTATATAATACATTTAAAAAGTTCTATTGTTTTGATGAAATTCAAAATTATGGGGTTACTGGGAAGTGATATATCCTAAAGCTTATTCCAAAATAGACTCAGTGGTTGTTGGCGCTAGAAAGCATCATGGTAGTTAGAAATGGTGAAAGAAAATAAGAATTTAAAAAATAAAGTAAGGGGAAAGGTTGAAGTTTTTTTCTTTTTTTGGCCATGAATTAGATGTGAAGGAAAGAAGGAGTGAGTCATGAGAATTATGAACTTGGGAGGTAAGTTAATGTGGGAGTGCTAGTTTTTAGTGGGAAATAGTACTCAATCTCCTTTTGATGACTCATGATTTCCCAGGCAGGGTATTCAGGGAGTGAATAACCTGGGATATTGAAGGATGACACAATGCTTAGCCTGTGAATGAATCATGTATAAACCTTATTTTTTGAGAAAGGAAAGGGCAAGATATTGGCTTCCAATAATCAACCTTGTGGGCAACCCCCATGTGGTTCTGAAATTTTAATTGAGCGTTCTAGAAGAGTCAGGCATGAATGAAATTAGAGAGAATGGAGAGGAGAAGCTCCATAAATGTGCTTTGTATTTATAGTTAGAAGAAAATGAACAGTAATAAAACCCTAGAAAAACGGTTTGATGTAGATAAAAATTTGAGAATAATCCAATACAGAAATCAGGAATGCATACAAGATTTGAAGGCGCTAGAGGACAGAATTGGGCTCTGGATAAGCATAGATTCAAAGTGAGGAAAACTAAGGAAAAAGGAAGGCTTGGATATACATATTGTTCTGCTGAGGGAATAGGACCTATATAAGAATTCTGACTAGGCCAGGCATGAGGTTAAGCCAGGAGAATTGCAAGTTTGAGGCCAGCCTGGGATACATGATGAAATTCTATCAGATAAAAAAAAAATAGTTCCTCTAAATAATTTCAGGCTGAGAAAGACTTTTGCATAAAATACTGGTGATGGGAGTCAGTGGACATGTTGTCTGAAGAAAATGTATTCCAGGGAAAAGCAGTATAGGTGAAGTTAGCTCAGGTGAGATTCAAGGATCCAGAGTATAAAGTGATAAGCCTGGAAGGCAGAAAGAGAATATTGTGTATGTCCCATAACATATATTTTCCTTTATACAGTACTCCCCTAGGCTTCAAATACTTTTCTTTCATTTTTCCATCTGATGAATTCTGACACATTATTTCAAATAAAATTTATATCTTGTAAGAGTTCTTCCTAATCTCCATATCTAGTCTGTGACTCATTTGCTGTTCTTCCAGCCCCTACTAACTAAGAAAATTAGCATTTATCTTACTTAATTTGCATATGCATTACACAAATATTTACTGTTATTATTATGGTTTGGATATGGCTTTAGGTACTTAAGATATACCAGTGGACAAAGAAGAAAAGATTCTCTGCTCTCACAGAATTTTTTCTCACAGAGGAGAGAAATAATAAATAAGAATAATAAATATATTTTATATGCTAGAAGATTATGAGTTCTATAAAAGTTAAAAGTGAATAGGGAAGGGTGATGTCAGTCCAGGATGTAGATGCTGGAATGGAGACAGACTATAGCATAGCATAGAGTAACCCAGGTAAGACCAGTGAGATAATTAGATTTAAGCAAAAGTTGGAATAAAGAAGGAGCTATCCAAGTGAATATTTGGTGAGAAAGAATTAAAAAAGGGGGAAACAGTTATAGCAAAGACTGTAAAATGCTATATCTCTGAACAGATTTGAGCAACAAGAAGAAGGACCTACTTTAAAATTTAAAAAGATCATTGTGGTTGCTATGTCAAGATTACTCACAGGTAGACAAATGCAGATAAGGGAGATTTGTTTGGAGTCCATTATGGAAACAAAAGTGAGAGATGAGTCACTACTGAATCTGACATGGTAAAAAATCATCAGATCCTAGGTGTATGAGAGAAAGACAGAAAAATGACTGGGAGAATTTGGGCCTGTCAGCTGAAATACTGAATTTGCCATCATTTGGGATGGTGAAGGCTCTGAGTCACATATACAAGAGTTCAGTTGAAGATGGTTATTAATTTCTCCAGTTGAAGTGTGAGTAGGTAGTCAAATGTATGAATCTGGAGTAGGAGAAAGAAATGTTGACTGAAAAATTGATGCAGAAGTCTGCATTGCATATATGATATTTAAAACCATGGCATTGAAGGATAAGAACAAAGGAGGAAAACCTAACACTGACCTCTAGGAACTGTGACATTAAAAAAGGCCAAGAGAAAGGAGAATGAGAAGTGCACAGTAAGGTACACTGCCCTGAGAAGCAAGTGAAGGTAGTATGTCAAGAGTTGGGATGGATCAGCCTTGACAAGAACTACTGGTAGCCCAAGTCAGCAAGATCACTAGATTTAGCAAATTTTAAATAATTGGTATCTATGAGAAAGGATGCTTGGATGGAGTGTGATGGTGAAAATCAAATTAGAATGGGTTAAAGAAGAAACTGAAAGAAATGAATGAGAAGGATAAAAGAAGAAATGGAGCAGTGATGGTGAGAAAAAAGTGAGTTAAAAGAAGCAATTTGGGAACTTGTTTTTTATTTATTTAACAAGTAATAGCTTATTTCTATATTGGTGGAATGTTCTGGTAAAGTGCTACCCAAAAATTATTTATTTTCTCATTAGAAAATTAGCTTCTTTGTGCAGCATGGTAACCATAGTTAACAATACATTGTATTCTTTAAAAATGCTAAAGGAGCAGATGTTCAGAGGGCTCACCACAAAAATCATAACCATATGATGTAATGCATGTGTAATAAGGCAGATCTAGTCATTCCACAGTGCATAACACTTAATAATATCATATTGTACATAATCAGTGCACACAGTTTAAGTGTCCACTAAAAATAAAAAATAACATAAGTAGTTTCTTAGCACCAGGTGGCATATTTTATTTATCTCTTCAGGCCACTTAGTTTGTTTAATCTAAGTTCTAAGTATAATGTCTAGGAAATACTTAATATATTTCTGTTACATTGACCTCAACACAATAGAGTATAAATATTTGTAGTCTGTAAAACAAACAAATCAGAAAAGCACATGTGAGGTTGTTAGAGAGGGAAAGGTGTAGGGAAGACTGAGTGGGAGGCCAGATTGAAGTAGAAGTAAAGAGAAATTTGCCTCCTATCTTTCTGTGCCCCTTTCATCTACTCAATATTCCCTTATTCTCAACTGAGATTTTCACCAGTGTCCAAAAGAAGTCTAAAACTCTAACTTACATGCTTCTGAAAAACATTGGTAGATAAGGGTTTTCATATGAAAATATGAAGTAGCAGGAGGTAAGAGAACTGATTCTTCAGTAGCCAGAAAGTTGATGAAGAAAATAAGTTGATACTTCAAATCAGAAAATGTAATTCAAATTGCATATCCTTGGTTGGGTACATTATCAATATTTTATCATCTAAGTGATGGTTGATACTTTAAGACAAGGAATATGAATAAGCAGTAACTTATACCTCAGAAAAGAAATACTGAAATTTCTAACCATATTTAGATTTCGTTAAGCAAGACAATTGGATTATATGATGGAATATGATGCTAGCAATGTGCTGTGTTACTCAGAAGAGGTTCTTTAAATCTACTGGTAAGGGTGGATACTCTGAAAGAGGCTTTGTAGAGGGGTGTGTGTGTGTGTGTGTGTGTGTGTGTGTGTGCACTCATGTGTGTTTGGAGGATGGAATTGAAATTCCCACCTCCCAAAGCATTTACTGGGAAGGCTTTACTTGAGAGATGGCAAAGAGAAGTACTTTGAGGGTGTCTGTCCAGATACTTCAATGGCTCAGTTTTCTTCCTTATCCTTACTTCACCTTATAGGGACATGAATGGTGAACGATGGGCACTGGAAACTGGAGCCAGGTAACAGAATTCATCATCTTGGGCTTCCCTCATCTCCAAGGTGTCCAGACTTACCTCTTTTTCTTGTTACTTGTCATTTACCTCACTACTATACTGGGAAACCTGCTGATATTCTTAGTGGCCCACCTGGACTCCCGGCTCCGGACACCCATGTACCAGTTTGTTAGCATTCTCTCCTTCTTAGAGCTGGGTTACACAGCTGCTACCATCCCCAAGATGCTAGTAAACTTGCTCAGTAAGAAGAAGACCATTTCATTCTCTGGATGCCTCCTGCAGATCTATTTTTTTCACTCTCTTGGAGCTACTGAGTGCTATCTCCTGACAGCTATGGCCTATGATAGGTACTTAGCCATCTGCAGACCCCTCCACTATTCCACCCTCATGACCACAACACGTTGTACTAAGATTGCTATTGGCTGTTGGGTAGGAGGGTTGGCTGGACCAGTGCCTGAAATTTCCTTGGTGTCCCGCCTCCCTTTCTGTGGCCCCAATCATATTCACCACATCTTTTGTGATTTCCCTCCTGTACTGAGCTTGGCTTGTACTGATACCTCTGTCAATGTCCTGGTGGATTTTGTTATAAATTCCTGCAAGATCTTGGCCACCTTCTTGCTGATCCTCAGCTCCTATGTGCAGATAATCCGCACAGTGCTCAGTATTCCCTCAGCTGCAGGTAAGAAGAAGGCCTTCTCCACGTGTGCCTCCCACCTTACTGTGGTACTTGTTTTCTATGGGAGCATTCTCTTCATGTATGTACGACTGAAGAAGAGCTATTCGCTTGACTGTGACCGGGCCCTGGCAGTGGTCTACTCAGTGATCACCCCCTTCCTCAACCCTTTTATCTACAGTTTGCGTAACAAGGAGATCAAGGAGGCCATGAGGAGGCAGCTGAAGAGAACAGGGATCCTTCAGCTGTAAATGGGAGGAGGGAGTAGGACAAGGCTGGTGCAGAGGATGTGAGGACTATTGGGACTTTACTAGTCACAGATGAGAAACCAAACATTCCACACTTTTTCTGGATGGGATAATGGAGCTAGGGAAATTGTTGCCTGGCTTTTAGTTTGTCAGCATTATACTCTCTGCTGGCGCTACAATCAACTTAACACCAGACACTGGAAAAAGCACACTTTGTGTCAACATGATTTAATATACTGATTTTCTGTTTGTGCATCAAGTTTAGAATTTTTGTCAAATTTGTATCTTACTTGTAATGTATGTATATGTATATATACATTCAAATTTATTGACTTTACTCAGAATCATTTGGTTGTGTCCTGGACAGTAATATTTGTTAAATAAAATCTAGTACAAAAAGCAAATGATTTTCCATGTACCACTTAATCATGTCACATGGAAAGCATCAGTATGGAAAAGGATGTTTTTTTAAATTACATCTTTCTGAGTTTAAATTCTAGTTCATTTAGTCACATAAATTACTTGATATTTAGAAGGTAAACCAGCATCTGAGTCTTAATTTCACAAAAATATTTTTTGCAAGATTCTTTTCACAATTAGTGATAATATCTGTGAACCTTGGTACATAATGTCTGACATTTAGCTATTAGTATAAAATAGTTTGACTTTTAAAAATTGATTTTATTTGATACATACCTCTCATTTTTACTCTGAGTCTTGGAACAATATCTAGTAATACATAGTAAACAAAAATACTTCCCAGGTACATTTCCCCAAAGGATAGGATAAATCCTTATCAGAGGGTATAGTTTGTCACATCTGTCCTGGAGAGTTGTCTGTATCATCTTCGTGGTCCTAATACCCATACACCTTAAAAGTATGAAAATGCAGGAGCTAAGGCATTAGTAGGAAACAGTCTTACTTTTTATATTGGACCACTTCTTTATTTTAAGCTAATTATTTTCTGTAATATGTGAAAAATAATCTTAAAACTTAGTATATAAGCTATCTGAAGTTTTCACTATCAGCTAGTATTTAGGATTGTTTATGCATCTGGATATTTTTGTGAGTAGAAAACCAAGCCATGACTATAAGAAAGCCTTCAATTCTACAGAACTTCTAATATGATTCCCAAATGGTTTTATTTTTCCAATCTTAAAGATATCCATCAATCCATCCTTCCTTCCTTCCAATTCAATACAAATTTATTTGGCTGTATTATATGTGAGAAGCATAAACCCTAAGTAATATTATGAATAAAACAAACACTTTACATCCTCCCCCTAGGGTATTTTAAAAGAATTGAGCTATAGACATTAAAATCAAAATTTATTTATAATTAGCTATAATAAATTATAATTAGTAATAAGATAAATATGCATATCCTTTTTGAAGATGTTATACTTAGTCTGAAAACTGAAGGATGAATTACAGTTAGCCATTTATGACTAAATGTAATTGTAAATTTTTACCCAGAAAGTTACCAAAACTATGTAATAAGTCACAGACAGGGACTCTGAAGAAGAAAACAAAGTCAGCAGCCTCCCAAGCTATTTTAGCCTTTAAAAGGTCTAGGGGAGAAAATCATTATTTTGTACAATAAAGAAGACAAAAACAAAGGTATAAATTCTTAATCCAGAAAAATATCAACCATTTCTATATACTCAAAACAAATTATCCTAAAAACAAATCAAGTATTCCCATTTACAGTAGCCATACCATTTAAAAAGACACTTAGGAATAAATTTAACCAAGAGTCTACAATGAAAACTATAAAACACTGATGACAGAAATTAAAGATAAATCAAATAAATGGGAAGATAATCTGCATAAATGAATTGGTAGTATGAATATCACTAAAATGTCCAAACCATCCAAAACAAACTACAGGTTAAATGCAATCCCTACCAAAACACTAGCATCTTTTACAGGCATAGGAAAAAAATCTATCCTAAAATGAATGTGACATTTGAAAAGTCCCTGAATGGTCAAAGAAATACAGAGCAAAAAGAACAAAGCTAGAGGCATTACAATACTTGACTTCAAAACATGTGACCACACTGTCAATTGTAAATTAGTACAGCCATTATGAAAATCAGTATGGAGGTTTCACTAAATATTAAAAATAGAACTACCATATTATCCAGGAATCCCAGAAAGGAAGCAATTGTCAAAAAGATATTTGCACTCCCATTTTTATTGTAGTAGTATTCTCAGTAGCTAAGATATGGAATCAACCTGGGTGTCTACCTATGGATGAGTAGATAAAGAAAATATATACACACGTATATAAATCTCACATATATATCTGTATCTAATCTATATCTATATCTATATCTTTTACAGACATAGGAAAATTATATATAATATCACATATATACATATACATTATGTATACATATAATGTAATATTATTCAGTTATAATAAAGAATGAATTTCTGTCATTTGCAGTAACATGGACATCATGTTAAATGAAATAAACCAGGAAACAGACAAATGCCACACATTCTCACTTAAATGTTAAAACTAAAATGCTGATTTCATAGAAGGAAAGAATAGAACAGAGATCACCAAAGGCTATTAAGGGTAGGAAAGATGTATGAGAGAGCATGGATAACACACACCAAAATACTGTAAAATAATTCTAGTGCTCTCCATCACAGTTGGGTTATGATAGCTTACAATTTATTGTATATTCAAAATAACTAGAAAGAGAATTTTGAATTCTCTTTGTGTTTCTTTTCAACACAAAGAAATGGAAAATGTTTGAGGTGATGGAAATTGCTAATTACCCTCATTTGATATTTACATTTATATATATATGGCAAAATATCACACTATATCCCATAAGTATGTACAATTATTATACATCACATAAAAATAAATCAGTGAAAAGATATCCTGTGTTCATGTAAAGAATTAATATTGTCAAATGTCCATACTACCAATTCAATTCCTACCTATCAAAAGTCTAGTGGCATTTTTCACAAAAACAGGTAAAGCAATCCTAAAATTTGTATGGACCCTCAAAGACTCTGAATAGCACAAACAATCTTGAAGACAAGGAACAAAGCATCACACTACCCACTATAAACCTGTAATAAAATTACATGATACTAGCACACCATTTGGAAAACCATGTAGAAAAGCAAGCATGTAGAACATCAGAGCAAAATAAGGAGCTGGGAGATAAATTCACATATTTACAGTCAATTGATATTTAATAAAGTTGGCAAGAACGCAGTCTTTTCAGTAAATGAGGCTGGGAAAATTGGACATTCACCTGTGGAAGATTTCAGATCCTATATGCAAAAATCCAACCAAAATGGATTAAAGACTAAAATGTAAGACCTAAAATAATTGTATAATGACTAGATGAGAATAATGGGGACAATCTTTATGATAAAATGAAGACAACCTACAGAACCATACATATTTATTGACATCATACATTAACACCAAAGACTATCTTCCCTCTGTTTCCTTTACTTTTTCAGTGATCAATCCACATGTTCTCTCAATTAGTTTAATCTGTTAATCAGTTGGTCCACTAGCCAAGAACAAACCTTGGATAATTAATAGATAATCTGCAGAATGCTGGCCTGAGTGCTCTGACATTCAAATGAATGAGAAAACCTTATTCCTGCCATCTGTGGACCTTTACTGTAATGGTAAATATGGAACACAGAAAATGATATTATGAGCAGAAAAATGGAAAGACAGAAGTACTAAGCTGTACTAAAATAAGGGCTGACATTTGTTCTGATATCAGTGCCAGAGATATCAGGGTGAGGAATCATTCTTACAGACTGTAGAGATGATGAGCAAGGGGACAATAGTGTGTAAAAAAATCATTTCTGAGTTGAATCCCTGAAGGTTGAGGATATCCTTGTGAAAAGAATCAACGTTCAGGGTTAAGAAAGAAGTGAGCACAGAAAAGGGTACACGTTCAAAGAAGTTTAAAACACAGTGACCAAGCTTTCAAAGACTTCTAAGGAATACAATTGTCACAGAGCTCAAAACAGTCCATGAGGATCATTGCATCTCATGACAGAGGCATGAATTTGATGGATAATGACATTTTGTTAATAGCAACAAAAATGTTTCATTACATTCTAAGGTTTTGGCTCAAGCGGTAGAGTGCTTGAAACCCTGAGTTCAAGCTCCTGTTTTCCCATTAAAAACAAAGAAACCTTAAAAGATTTCAAGGTCTCTATAGGGAAGGACCACTCATATGATAGCCACTAAGTAGTGAATGCTCTGTACCTCACAGAACGCCTGACACAGAGTTGCTACTCTGACTTTTTTAAGAAAGAGAATCTTGAAGACGATAGAAGCAAACTCTCTCAGAACTCTTCTTAGGTTTGAATATTAGAATGAAAGCTCTGTGAAATAGATACATGATCATGATAAATAAGGACTTGGGTCTGGAACCAGACAGAATTGACTTTTTGTTCTGGATTTCTATCAATTTTTTCTGTATACTTGGGCTAGTTATTGAAACTCAGTCTTTCATGTTTGAATAAAAACAATAACATGTATTTCATAAGGTTGTGATGATATATGAGAAAATATATAAATAAGGCTCATGTATCATCAAAAAATGTTAGCTCTTAAAGAGCCCCGGGACTAGAAATGCTGTAACTGATCATCTAATTGAGCTATTCTTAAATCTTACCCATCACTAGAATTTTTCTTGGGAGATTTTCAGAGATGCAAATGCCTGGGTTTCATTTTTAGATTTTCTGTCATAATTTCTAATGGGCAATCAGTTTAGGGAATCACTGACCTAACCCAACCTCATACTTACAGAACAGGAAACTGAATGACAGAGGACTAAAGAAACCAGTCTAAATGGCAACAACTTAGCAACAGAAAAAATCCTTGAAACTCCTGGTTTAACAGTCTTTTCTCATTCCACATTCACCTAAGGAATGGGAAATCCACAGTGAAAAGAATCAGTCACTCCAGGATTCATTGGGAACTGCCAAGTTTTTATAAAACTTTGGGAAAAGAAATCTGTAAAAATTTGTTTTATTGAAAGTCAAGTTATTTAAATGAAATTATATATCTTTATTCGAAACTGAGAATGTAGTAGATGACCTGAAATCAAGTCCTGGTTCTGTTATTAATGAACTAAATGGCCATAGGCAAGTCATTAAACTTTTCTGAGCTTTAGTTTTAACTTTAGTTTCAATGCTTAAATAATGTTCATGTCTGACCAATTTGTTCATGTACTTTAAATTTCAAGATGTTTCATATAAGTGAAAATATTATATAGTAATGTGAAATAACAGAAGCAAGTAGTGGACTATTCATATTATTAATTCCCATGAAACTATTTGTTCCCTAAAATCCTGTAACACACCATGCACATGATTAGTTCATGAATGCTGCGTTGTGTTTCTGGATTAAATATGCTAAAACTGAGAAAAGTCTCTCTTGTGTCAAGAAATTGTTTATTTATGTGGGATGCTGAATGACAATGGAAATGCATTGTTGATAAAAGGCAATGGGGCAAAGAGAAAAGCAGCAACTCTCAGAAATATTTGCCCATCGTGTCACTTCTATCCTGCCCTTTGGCCTTACCAGGATGTGGAATTATAGGACAGGAACCGAACTGGAAGAGTGTGAGAAGGAGACTTCAGCTGTCAGAAGCTTGGTGGGCATTGATGTAAAAGGACTATCCCATTGTTAGCAATGACCTGGAGGAAGCAGTTCATCATTTCTGTTAATAAAAATCTGACAAGTAGCTATGGCAATAAAAAAGAGCATAATTACGAACAAGAAAAGAAAAATTCTCCAGGCTCTAGTTCTATCTCCCAGACACACCAGCTCTTTTCTGATGGTGAAAAAGCCTCCCAATGGCATCTTTCATGTCCTTATTTCTCAGGCTGTAAATCATGGGGTTCAGAAAGGGAGCAAGGATCACAAAAGTGACAGCAATTGTTGTATCCCAGAACACTGAGTAGGTGGCTGAGAATCGCAAATACATGACAGACACACTGCCAAAAAACAACAAAAACACAGTGAGGTGGGCTGCACAAGTAGAAAAGGCCTTCTGTTGACCCTCAGCTGAGGGCATGCCCAGAATTACCACAATGATCCGGATGTAGGATAGGGTGATAACTAGGAAGGAGGCCAGAATCTCCACTGCATGGATGACATCCACAATGATCACCAGGGATGTATCTGTGCAGGCCAAGCTGAGCACAGGTGTAAAGTCACAGAAGATCTGGCGGATCTGGTTGGAACCACAGAAAGGAAGGGTAGCAATCCATGTGATCTCAGGGAGCACAAGGAAGAAGCCACAGAGGCAGGATCCAGCTGTCAGCTGGATACAAAGTATGGGAGTCATGATGGTGGAATAACGGAGGGGATGGCAGATAGCTATGTACCTGTCAATGGCCATCGATGTCAGGACACAGCCTTCTGTGATACCTAGTGAGTGGAAGAAGTACATCTGCATGAGGCAGCCAGCCAGTGAGATGGTCTTCTTCTCACTTATTAAGCAGGAGAGCATCTTGGGGATGGTGGTCGTGGTGTACCAGATCTCCAGAAAGGAGAGCACACTGATGAAGAAATACATGGGGGTGTGCAGGGCCACATCCAACTGGACAACAATAAATATCATTAGGTTTCCAGTTATGATAAATACATAGACAAGAAGTAATGGAATAAAGAATAAGAGGCCACCTTCATGCAGATGAGGGAACATGGAGAACAGGAATTCAGTTACCATTGTTTGATTCCCACTGGTCATCAACTGTGTCATCTGTGAAGGGAAAAGAAGTAATGATGAATTTTCTGGAATTGGGATGTTTATTGCACATTGAAAATAACTGCACTCCTTTCTGTCATCAGTTATTAAACTGAAAATGGAATCCTAAGCAAGCCATTTAGAAAGATCTCTCAAACTCTTTATTCCCTTGTCAGAAATATCTGAAATGTTTCTAATTTGGTTCTTAAATAACCTTTGCGTAAACTGCTTCAATCAATATGAGGGAAATGTAAAGCAACAAAGAAATTTGATTTTCTGGAGTTTCAGTCTTTTTGTTGACTTCAGAGGTCTTCTTCTCCTCACTCCCTAGTCCTCTGTGTTTACCCTTAAAACTTTACTTTATTTTTAAATATTCTCTACTCCTAGTCTTTACAAAGTTATTTTTTTTTTGTGAAACAGAATAACACTATAAGAAACAATTATCCCAAGGATTCTGTATGTTGCTTTGCCCATCTTTCCATCATGGTATCTACCCCGAGGATAGCTAAAGTATTCATCTTTATCACTCTGCCTGCCTTTTTTTATTTCTGTTGGTTTTGTAACAATATGTCTGTTTCTCATCTGATGGTGAGTATTCAGACATAAGGAAATATCCTTCCTCAAATTCTCTGCTTTCTCTATAACTTTAGATTCTTCTCTCCCCTTCTGTTAATGGCCAATATCAAGATAGGAGTCTCTCCAAATCTCCTTATTCCCTTGTACCTGATTAGTGGCCATTTCTGGAAAAGCTCTTAACTCTGTCCCAACACATTCCATACCTCCAATGAAGGCTTTGTGCAGAAGCCATAAATTTTTCTGAATTTAAAAATAATTTTGAAGAAAAAAAATGATAGCTAATGCAGGGAATCAGATCTCCTAAACTCCATGATTTCAGAAACCTCCTTGAGAAGCTGGAGCCACACTTGGGTAACTGCAATTACTCCAACCCAAAATAATAACCACCATCACATTAGCTGCAGATAAAATTCAAAAACTGACCCTTAAATAGCCTTTAACTGCACCTAATAGCCATGAAAATCTCATCTAGCACAGCCAAAAAGGCATGACTGGCTCTAGCCCTGGAAAAAAAAAACCCAGTTGCCTCTCTTTTCTTCTTCTTCTTTTTTTCCTTCTATGCTTCTCCTAACAAGCAGAAGACAGAACATCAATCAGAAGCAAACCCTGCGACATCCTGGACCCTAGCCCATGGAAAGACTCCCTACACCATGGCAATTGATGCCATTTCTCCCCAACAGCTGGCTCCAAAGCTGCTTGCGTGAAACTTCAGAAGATACAGGTGAGCATCATGTGCCATGTGTGGCTTCCCTACCCACTCCACCTCAGGACAAAAATACAGTGCAACCCCTGGGTGGAATGAAAGCACCCCCCAGCAAAACTGAAAACCATAAACAGTGAACTGTAATCTAACACCAACATTGGAGTGTGAGGGGATGGAACACTGAACCTGCCCTGGAGAATGAGGAAGGGGCAAAGAACCAATCTGTCATTGCTGAACTGTCAGGGGTGTGTCAAGGAACTGAACTCTGAGCACCAAACTCTCAGTGATGCCATAAAGCAGCGAAAGTTGAGAGTAGGGATGGGGGCAACAAGCCACCTGGAGGAGCCCCCAGCACCTGGCAGAGATCAGGACAGGCATAAAAGCTAAGAGAGGGAGCAGAGTGACAAACTAACCTTCAAAGGCAGAGCCGGTGGTAGATTCCAGATCTATCCTCAGGACAGAGTGCAGCATTCAAAACTTAATTGTACCACCTTGCTGGGGAAGAGCTGACCAAGCAGAGCTGCAGCTGAAGAACAGAACAGTTGCTGCCTGCTGAAGACAGTTCTAACCACCTTGCATGAGCTGGCAATCTTATCTCACCTCACAATCCCAACTAACCTTGTGGACAGAAGGTCTAAATATCACTCACAAGCCAGACACTGGTGAGACCACATCAGAGCTTCCACTTGAACACCAATATCAGGATTGGACACCTAAGGAATAACTCCAGAACTTTTATTAATAGACTGAACTGAACCAGGTTCCTGAACCTGGTGTTTTGTGTGTGTGTGTTTCTTTTTCTTTTTTATTCCTGCATTATTAACTCCATCATCACTATTCTCTTATCCCTATTCTCATCCTCTTCACTCTCCCTCCTTCTCCTATACTACAATCTGTTGTTCTCTCTCCCAACTATGGTTTCTGCCCTTTTTCATCCATTCTTTCCCTGTCTTCACCTCCTCCACCCAACCTCCCCCAACCTGTCACTACACTACCCTTCCCTCTTAAACACTTACCACCTGCTGACTATCCTACTCTACCAACTGCACACAAACCCAGCCCCCTGCAATTCCTGACACAAACAACCTCCACTATAATAACAGAAACACACACACACACACACACACACACACACACAAGGACCACAAAACCCAGCAACTCCCACAACTCTTAACCCACCCACCCACTTCTTTCTTTTCTTACCCCCCTTTTCTTTAGTGCCACCTTCACCAATTCCTCATAATCTGTAACTAGTCCAATAACTATTACATCCCTCTAACTCCAACTGTTTATAGATATTATCATCAAGGGGTTTTCTATAGAATACATTAACAACTGGTCTGGCATTGAACCTGTGAACTTGTTAATGCTAAATTACAGACCAGGGTCAGATAAAGCATGTCAACCTAGCTAACAACCAAGTTAGACAGAACAGAAAAATTAAATCAGGGAAAGAAATTGGACAATCAAATCCATCAACTAGCCTACCAAAAATATAGTGGCACAGCACCAACTGGAGGGATGGGAATAGAAGAAGGGATGGAAACTACTCACCTCAAAAAAAAATTCAATACAGGATTCAGTGGGTAATGAATAAAATGGATACCCAGTACCTGACCCCAATAAAACAGCAACAAATGTAAATAAGGAACTCAGTAATGTCCACAGAAAACCCTTATAGAAGAAATCTGGAAAGAAATATCTGAGAAATTCATGGAGAAGATATTAGACATGGTCAACCAGAATGTACAAAATGCACTCAAAAAATTTCAAGACACCAAAAACAAAGAACATGAGATGACACAGAAACAAAGGAATTCAGAGAGGACCTTAAAAAACACCACTGTGAAACAAAGAACACTATAAAAAGAGAGATACATGAATTAAAGATGACAACACAAATTATAAAAGAAGATTTGAACAAAGATTTGTAAAACCTTGGAAGAAAGAATCAAACAGAAATCCTGGAAATAAAAAGTCATTTTAGTAAAACAAAAAATGCAGTGGAAGACCACTCCAGCAGACTAGAGTAAGTGGAAGACAGAATCCAGAGCTCAAAGATAAAATAGAAATTAAAGAAAAAACATAAGAAAAACTAGTCAAACAACTCAAGAGCTGTGAAAGGAACATGCAAGAACTCACCAATTCCATCAAAAGACCAAACTTGAGAATCACAGGCATTGAAGAAGAGGTGCAAACCAAAGGGATATATAATATATTCAATAATACAATAACAGAAAATTTCCCAAATCTCAAGAAAGTTTTGCCCATTCAGGTATAGGGGCCTCCAGGACACCAAACAGACTTGACCAAAATAGAACCCACAACATACTATCATCAAAACAACAAGCATAGAGAACAGAGAAAAAATATTGAAGGCTGTAAGAGAGAAAAAAACAAATAACATATAAAGGTAAACCCATCCAAAGGACAGCAGATTTCTCAACAGAATCCTTAAAAGGAAGAAGGGCATAGAGTGAGGTATTTCAGGCACTGAATGAAAGTAACTTCAACCCTAGTATACTCTACCCATCAAAACAATCATTCAAAATTGATGGAGCAATAAAAATCTTTCACAATAAACAGAAACTAAAACAGTATATGACCTCCAGGCTACCACTATGGAAGATTCTACAAGGAATCCTACAGAATAAAAGCAAAAAAAACCCCAAAAACCTAAAACACAAGAGGACAGGAAGCATCAAACAACAGGAGAAGAAAAGACAAGGAATCAGAGAATAGCATTGATTAGACTGCACACAATCAAACTCTTAAACAACAAAAACAACTAAATGACAGAATCACCACATACCTATCAATATTAACACTGAATGTTAATGGACTCAATTCCCCCATCAAAAGACACTGTTTGGCAAACTGGATTAAAAAGGAAGATCTGACAATCTGTTGTTTACAAGAGAACCATCTTATTGACAGAAATAAACACTGGCACAGGATGAAAGGCTGAAAGATTTACCAAGACAATGGCCCCTCAAAACAGGCAGGAGTAGCAATACTTATATCAGACAAAGTAGACTTTAAACTTACATTGATCAAACGAGATAAAGAAGGACACTTCATACTAATAAAAGGAGCAATACATCAAAGGGAAATAACAATTATCAACCTATATGTACCCAATGTCAGTGCACCCAATTTCATCAAACACATACTAAAGGACTTAGAAGACTGCAAATAGCCAAGGCAATACTAAACAAAAAGAGCAATGCTGAAGGTATCACAGTACCTGACTTCAAACCATACTACAGAGGCATAGCAATAAAAAAAAGCATGGTACTGACCCAAAAAACGGATATGAAGACAGTGGAACAGAATAGAGGACATGGATATGAACCCACACATCTATGCCCACCTTATTTTTGGTGAAAGCACCAAAAACATACAATGGAGAAAAGATAGCCTCTTCAACACAGGTGCTGGGAAAAGTGGCTATCTGCTTGCAGAAAACTGAAACTAGATCCAGGCCTGTCACCCTGTACTAGTATCAACTCAAAGTGGATTAAGGACCTTACTATCAGACCCAAAACTTTCAATTAGTACACAAAACAGTGGGGAATTACTCTGGAAACATAGGACTAGGCAATAACTTCCTCAGTAGAACTCCATCAGCCCAGCAACTAAGAAAAAGGATCAAAACCATACTAAGCTTCCACCTCACCCCTGTAAGAATGGCTATCATCAAGAACACCACCGCCACCAAATGCTAGAGAGGATGCAAGGAAAAAGGAACCCTCATACACTGCTGGTGGGAATGCAAGCTAGTAAAACCAGTTTGGAAAAC